GCATTTTTTACGTGCTTTCGAACTGTTAGGTTGGCAGAAGCTGGGACAAGTAACAGGAGCTCACTCCTTTATGCGGCGCTAGGGATTCGAACCGTCGAGCTGCCGGCATGACTAAAACACCAAAGGAGCACAGAACGCTGTTACCTTCCCACCAAAGGTGGTTCCTATTTTTCCACTTGCGTTTTTTACGTGCTTTCGAACTGTTAGGTTGGCAGAAGCTGGGACAAGTCACGGGAGCTCCCTCCGTTACGCGGCGCTAGGGGTTCGAACCGCCCAACTGCCGACCTTTCTGATCGACAAGAATAGGATGATTCCATGGTGAGGAGAACAGGATGGACTTGGTGGAACATTGGGGTGATGAGCTCATCCCTTGGTCGAAAAAAGGACAGAATCTCCCGACCAGGCAGGATAAAAACCAAGTTAAAAATTAGCCAGCTGTGCGTGAGAAGCCCTAGAGACCAGCTCAGTGCCACTTTTCAGAGCCAAGGGAGAAAACAAACAGAGGTATAAGGAATAAAAGTTCAGGGTGTCTGAAATCGGGCTGTGAAGAACACCCTGGAGGAGGAATATACTTTTCTGAAGGGACTTGCTGAGTAACCAGAGCTTTTCAACACCTTCATTGAAGTCCCTCACCATTATTATTATCCCAGTGGCCTGGATCAACGTGGCTGCTTTCCCCGGTTCACCAACAAATAGATCAAATTGGGGAGCTGGAGAAGAAATATTGTAGGAGAAGGCAGTGGCTATCCATTTCTATTTTTCTGGCAAAGGAAATTCAAGAAACATGTTCACAAATTCACCAGGAGCTAAGCTTGGCTGGAGAGAAACTTTACTTTTATCTTGTACAAATAGTAACCCCTGAGTTTATTATTCCGAAGGCTCTCTGTTAAATCTTGGACAAACAAAGGAAATTCTAAAGCACTTAAGGCTGCCAGCCAAAGGGGAGCTGTCAAAAGTTGTTTTGACTGGAGAGGTTGTCAAATAATATTTATATTCGATCTCCTGAAATGCTGGAAGAAGAAGAGATGGTGAACCGAACTTCTTCGATCTCAGGAGGCCGAGTTGGACACGCTGTTTTAAAGGTGGCCATCGTCCAATTTTTTCCCCAGCTGCTGATTCCTTCAACCATTCAAAGACTCCAGTTCCCATCAGCCTCAAGAATTATGGCTAATGGTTCTTTCCCTCCCACCCCCCAATTGTTATATTTTTTATTCTCTTACATACCGTTTTAAATATACATTCACATAATTGTTATTCTTCTTTACATTTATCATTCTTATACATTTGTTATTCCGTTTAATAGGCTATAATATACAATTTGGATTGCTTTATTTACCATCCCTTCCGCCTGTTGTAACACCACCTTATTTCCCCTTTCTTTTCTCCCTCCCTCTCTTCTCTACTACCTTCCTCCTCTCTTTCCTCTTCCTTCTTCCCTTACCTCTCCCCTATGCCTACTCTTCCTTTTCCCCTTCCTATCCTCCCTCCTTCTCTTTCTCTCCCTTCCATCCAACTCTCCTTACCTAAAACCTGGCTGTTCCGGCAGGCCTGGGGCTGTTGACCCCAAAATATGGTCCAGCCCCACTTGGAATGGAGTGCATGGTGTGTTTTTTAAATCNGCCCACCAAGCCACGCCCACCACACCACACCCACAGAACCGGTAGTAAAAAATATTGAATCCCACCACTGGTTCACACATCACTAAAGGATACAACCAAGATCAAGGGAGGTACTAATACCACTCTATGAAGGTTTAGTAAGAGCATCCAGTTTTGGTCACCACACTCTAAAAAAGACGTTGTGACTCTAGAAAGAATGCAAAGAAGAGCAACCAGGATGATGAGGGGAGTGAAGGTTAAAGCATATAAAGAATAGTTGCAGGAACTGGGCATGGCTAGTCTAGTGAAGGACCAGGGGAGACAGGAGAGCATCTTCCAATATTTGAGGGGCTGCCACAGAGAGGGGGGGTGGGTTGAAGCTATTTTCCAAGGCACCCGAAGGCCAGACAAGGAATAATGAATGGAAAGTGACCAAGGAGAGATCTGGAAACGAGGAGGAATTTTCCAACAGTGAGAATAATCAACCCATGGAAACAGAAGTTGCCTTTGGAAGTTGTGGGAGCTTCATCACTGGAGGCTTTCAAGAAGAGATTGGACTGCCATCTGTCAGAAATGGTGTAATGCTTGGGCAGGGGGTTGGACTAGATGACCTACAGGGTCCTTTCCAACTCTGTTAATCTGTTAAATCACACCAAGCCTTAATACGGTTGCTTGGTTTAGGCTTAGCAAAATCCAGAGAGAAGCCAGAGAGTTGTGTTGTGGTCAACAAACCATATATTTAAGCCCGCTGTGGTTGGTCCCATCAGGAGACCTATTGGAGGTCAATTTTTCCAGTAAAGAGAAATTTCCTGACAGTGAAAACTCGAGCAGGGGGAATTGCCCTACAAGACCAAGGTCCCTTCCAACCAATATTTTGCTGCAATATTTCTGTTATTCCATGAGAACTCACTACGTACTCATCATGGTTGACTTGCCACTGGTTGACAAAGACGCAGAGGTCCTTAGGAATGAAGTAGCCCTTGAAGATGATGTCCTTCGTAGTGCTGAAAAGAAAACAAGGAAATAAAAAAAAATTATTTTTGAAAGAGTGTGCCTGTTTTAGGGTGGGGGGAGGAAGACGGGTGTGTGCATTGGATAACTCTTAGGGAATGGCGGGGCTCCCCTAATTTTGTGCTATCGGTTTGGGTGAACCGTCCTGAACGGGTAGAATACCACTCTCAACTCCCCGCATTTTCGTGGGAGACAGGGAGGGGGAACGCATTCCACACATAATGTCGGCTGGAGTCTGTTCTGACCCCCCTTCTTCGCTCGTTCACAGACAACAGTCAGACAGACTTAAAAGGAAATAACTTCATCAGTCCTGGCTCAGGCTGGCTGCGAGCCCAAAAATAAACATAAATAATGTCTCTGGCAAAAAAGGTTACGCAGCAGAATGCAAAAACAAAGAGCTATTGCAGCCACACCAGGTTTACAGAAAGAAAGCAAATCACTTATCCAAGTGCCTCTCACACTCCCCCACTGGTAAGTCCCTNTGGAACTTTAAGGATAGCTCTGCCTTGGACTCTGATTTAATTCTGCATGATATTTGGAATGCTGACAGGTAGATAGGTATGTGTCCAGATTTTTTTGGAGATCAGATTAATGGTTTCTGATATGACAGGTTCTGCTTTTCTAATTGAGGTTCAGCCAATGTTCTAAATATACTACATCATTCTTCTTCCAGGTTCGCTGACCGGTTTGGTACCAGAACTGCCTTGACTCTTTCATATTTGGCTGGATCCCTGTGCTTTTTGCTCCTTTCTGTATCCATCAGTGTCCCCTTGCTCTTTCTTTCCAGGGTTCCAGGCATCTTCATTCATGGATTACCAGGTAACGTTACAAAATATACAAATCCAGGACTCAGTTGTCTCTAGTTGCCTTGGCTATCAATTGAGCATGAAGCACTTCAGATGTGAACATGGAAAGATGCTTCATAGTTCAACCAAAGCTTGCAATTTTCCACTTTCTTCACAGGTGCACAGATGGTTATAACAGATTTGACATCTCCTGCCAAACGTGCGGATGCTTTAGGAAAGCTTGGGCTTTGTTTTGGAATAGGAGTAATTCTTGGATCTTCCCTGGGTGGTATCTTAACCACAAAGTTTGGGTGAGTAGTCTAATGGCTATACGAGTAGTTGTGCTTGGAGTCTAGTCATATTTCAGCTATGAAGTTGGTTCATTCTTGACCTATTAAGAAATGCCTTATTCTGTGCCAAGATACAAGTAAATAATGTGAAACTGTGGAAAAAAATGTAAAGGAAAAGACTGCTCTGTGTTGTGAAGGAAAAAAGTTCTGCTTAGTAACCCACCTACCCCCTAAAAATTGTTGCACTTTTAATTTTTCTTCTTCTTCTGTTTAACTGTGTCTGATTCTCAGAGACTGCCTTGGCAAGTCTCTGCAGTTTTCTTGGCAAAATTTTTCAGAAGTGGCTTGCTATTGCCGCTTTCTAGGACTGAGAGAAAATGACTGGCCTAGGGTCACCTAGCTGGCTTTGTCATAACCCCACAGGCTCCCAATTTCTAGCTTTTTGACTTAACCACTACACCAAACTGGGTCTCTGTAATTTTAATCCCCTGTCCATTTGCTGGAAAAGAAAATGATTCTGAAATGAAGACCAGTTCTCGATCCTAGACAGAAAAAAACCTAATTGATGAAATGTGGAATTCTTGCATTTTCCCTGTGGGTTTGTGTATGTGTTTACTCTTTCACCCTACAATAATTTCTCCAGTGGCTTGTAGCTTTTCTAGTTTCAAATACTTTGGTGGAGTGAGAAAAAATGAGGGAATTCCTTCAACATTCTTTTCTTCAAATCAAACACTATTAAAGTGACAGAGAAGCATCTAACATACAGCAGAACAAAAACAGCCACAATGGCACTCTCTATCATTTCCAAAATATAGATAGTCCTTGAATTACAACGACAAATGGGACCAGAATTCCCCTTTCTCAGCACGGTAGTTGATAAATGAATCAAACTTGATTTTATGACTTTTTTGTCATGGTTGTTAATTTGATTGGAGGAACAGAGTGGAAAATGTCCATCATAGATTTCAAATAGAGTTAAGTTTAGATTAACAAAATAGAGAAGCTGCGTAGGATTTTATCAATAAAGGAGAATATTTGTAGCTCAGGGTTGAAATGAGTTGAATTGGAATGAACTAACTAGTTTGAGTAATGATACATCTGCAAGAAAACAATCAAGTTCAGAGAGCACCGAAGACCCCTTCATAGGACTT